AAAAAAAAAAAAGTGATTTTAGTAAGCAGTTAATTCAGCATTTTATGCAGATAGACACCAAACAGGCCGCTAGGAATATCTTTAGCTAATTTTCTTGATTTAATTTCACAGGATTAATGTATATTCACCAGTCTTGCTCTACTACATAATCAAATCAGTAAAGCTGAAGTGGTCTATATCTAATTCCATACTCTGTAGCTTGATGAAGCAGGTGCTGAATTACTTGAATGTAATTTGGTTGCTTAATAACCCACAATATCTGAAAGAATCAGGAGATCACACTGCAATTGCAGTTTAATATCATATTTCACTTTGCTTGATCCCTTGCAGGGAGCACTTGACTCCTTGGGTCCATGGCAGCTTTTCTTTTCTACATTTAAGCAAAGGACAATTAAGTCCAGGCTGCTAAGTGACAACTCCATTTTGATAGCCTTTAGCTACATTTTCTAAAGTCTCACTATACTTCTAGGTAGTTTGTTGGCTACTTACAGAATGCACAATGTCCTTTATCTCAATTATTCCATAAAGTGGTCTGCAAATGTGATATTACCACAGGGACTTGTACTGTGAGTATACAGCATGATAGCACACATATTGCAGGCTGGTGACAAAACCCCACTGCTGCATTTAAAATGTGATAGCATTAATACAGAGAAAAATACTAGAATACTCCTCTTGAACACAAATAACATCTCATTTTCAAAACTCTATGTTTTTCTCAGTGCATTGTTTGTTACTGATACCAATAGGATGTGTGCACATATACTGTGACTATAATAAATGAATCCAAATTTGTTTGAGGCTCAGCCTGGGAATAATTTTGTCTGGAGGATTACTTCTACTGACCATCATCTGACTTGAAGCTAAGAATGAAATATCCTCCCTATAAACCTGATTTACAAGACAACGTGACCAGTGTTAAAAAGGAAAAGTGGGTATTGCTGGGTTATAGAAGTCTTTACTAGGTAACAAATGACACTGATTCTGTAGGTTTCTTTTGTAACAACTTAAATGTTCACTTTAAAAGCACCTTGATCAGTGACTTCTCCAAAGAACCTTAATAACTTTTGCCCGTTGCCTATTATTATTCTGCAGTTACTGCAGCAGCCATGAATTTCACTAAGGAAGAACAGAATTGTTCATAGAGAATAAGCTGCCTTTACTAATGGGCTTTCGCTCATCCAGACTAGGCCGGGCATAGGATAAACTGAGAGGATTGACTTCTCCTGGCAAAAGTAAAATAATGAAATAATCTCTTAAAAAAGAAATTTAATCAGGACCCTTACTTACAGACATTATTTACTTTCTTTAGTTAAGAAAATAAAATTACTCCCTTGAAATACTGTTTTGACTAAAATAAAAATTAGTCCTTCACATGCATACATTTTTTAAGGAGCATCTTTCATTTACAAACATGAGGAAGAGATGTCAGAAATTTAAATCGTTGATTCTTATTGCTATGTTTTGATCTTTTTATTATTCTTGCTGTGGCAACAGCAGGCACTATACTGAATTGAATTATTTTTGTCCTTAACCTGAGCTGTTAAGGCATTAATTCTATTTTTTTAAACCTGTGCATATTTAATTGCCCAGCTGAGAAGTCATTTTGTTAACACAGCAATTTTATCTGCAAAACAAGTTTTGAATGAATAATACTGTTTTGACACTGCTACTGTGATAAAAGCGTATTCCCTGGAAGTCTGCTCATTGTTCATATGTTAGTTGCATGGAGACTGATTAGTTTTGGCATTGCATTAGG